TGTTTGTCTTGTGCCACCTGTCCCCAGTTACTCATTAGTTCAAGTGTGTATTTAAGTCTTTGTGTTCCCCCCATGTGATTGTTGGTACGTCGTCAATTCTTGTCATGTCCTGTTCGTCATCATCTATTCTAGTCATGTTCATGTGTCCCGTAAGCTCTCGTCACGTTTCCCGTCCTTACTTGTTCCACTCCTGTTTTTTGAGTGCCACTTTTGTTTAGTGAAGATTTATTTTGTTTATTTATTTTACCTTTTTAAATAAAAGACACTTTTTGTTAAACAATATTTAGTTTCAGCGTTTTGGTCCTTCCCTTCCTTTTTCACCTATCACGTTCGTTCCCTCCCCACACCTCCAAGCCTGACACAGTGTTAATTTGGGTATAGCAGTTCATGTCATGTCCCTCAACTGTGTCAATCAGTGTATAAATGTAATATAAATATTAACACTGTTTACAACAGTGGCGTGGAGATTACAATCATAACTAAACTGTCATGTAATTGCTGACCTGTGTAATTTAGTGTAATTCCTTAATAGGCTAAACAATGCTGTGGTAATAACAATGAAGGTTATAGGAGCACATAGCAAAACGTTTTTGAAGCACTAAATACCTATTACCATACACTAAAATCATGTGACAACCAAACACACTACTCTAAACTTAAGTCATATGAAAATGTAGACTATGGTTAATTGACTGGCTTCAAAATGTTTACTAGACATGTAATTAATAAATTTTACTCTAAAATCACTAAACTTGCACACATTGTAAATTATCAAAAGTATAATCATGTTATACTGTCACTGTTGAGGCTGACGTGCTGAGGTATTGCAGTGAGCGTATTGTGTCACTTCCGGTGTCCGTGTATTGAACTACGTGTGTTGAACTCCTCTCTTTCGTCTCTCTATTCTGCTACTCTCTGTCTCACTGAAGCTAACTTTGAGTAGGGTGACCATACGTCCGTATTTCCCGGGACATGTCTGTATTTCACGTCCTGTCCCGGGTGTCCCGGGTTATTTTTAGAAAGTGAGGAAATGTCCTGGTTTTTAAAATTACTTAATTTCTTTGGACCATTACATTTACATGCACTAGGGCACTGCCCACGGCGCTGCGTGTGACGTAGCCTAATCCNTCCCTCCATCAGATGTATCTTACATGGGGCATACCCGATCCAGCCCCATATAGACTGAGAGGAGCATAACCTGAATTGTACTGAAGGAAAATGCAGGAGATAAACCAGCAGCTGATTATAGCAAGGTACTGTAAGTCACAGTTGTGTTGGGAGCCAGGAAAAAGGCAATGCCAAACCAGCATTGGCAGGTGACCTTTTAAAGTGAGCTCCATCAGTCTCCACTCCAATTACCAACCTCGACCTGAAACTCCACACAGGTGGAAACATAGAACAGGGTGAACAACCCCCTTCTTAAATTTTCTGTACATTTTCACTTTTCTTCATCTTTTGGCTGCTCCCTTTTCACCACAGCGGTTCATCTGCCTCCATCTCATCCTATTCCCTGCCTCCTCTACTGTTACACCAACCATCTCCATATCCTCCTTCACTACATCCATGAACCTTCTCTGAGGTATTCCTCTCTTCCTTCTACCTGGCAGCTCCATCTCCAACATCCTCTGTCTAATATATCCACTACCCCTCCTCAACACATGTCCAAACCATCTCAACCTGGCCTCTGTAGCTTTATCTCTAAACTGCTCTACCTTCACTGTCCCTCTGATCTGCTCATTTCTAATCTTGTCCATCCTTGTCACTCCCAATGAAAACCTCAGCTTCTTCATCTCTGCCACCTCCAGCTCAGCCTCCTGTCTTTTAGACAGTGCCACTGTCTCTAAAGCGTACATCATAGCAGGTCTCACCACTGTCTTGTAAACCTTCCCTTTCACTCTTGCTGCTATCCTTCTGTCTCACATCAGTCCTGACACTTGTTTCCACCCACTCCATCCTGCCTGCACCCTCTTCTTCACCTCTTTTCCATACTGTCCATTGCTCTGGATGGTTGACCCCAGATATTTGAAGTCATCCGCCTTAACAACCTCTACTCCTTGCATCTTCACCTGTCCACCTGCCTCCCTCTCATTCACACATATGTTGTCTGTCTTGTCTCTACTGACCTTCATTCCTCTTCTCTCCAGTGCAAACCTCCACCTCTCCAGGTTCTCTTCTACCTGCTCTCTACTCTCACCACAGATTACAATGTCATCTGCAAACATCATGGTCCATGGAGCCTCCTGCCTGACCTCATCTCTCAACCTGTCCATCACCATTGCAAACAAGAAGGGGCTCAGAGCTGATCCCTGATGTAACCCTACCCTCACCTTGAACCCATTTGTCACTCCGACTGCACACCTCACCACTGTCTCACTGTCCTCATACATGTCCTGCACCACCCTGATATACTTCTCAGCCACCCCTGACGTCCTCATACAGTACCACAGTTCCTCTCTTGGCACCCTATCATATACTTTCTCCAGATCCCAGTGCAGCTCCTTCTGACCTTCTCTGTACTTCTCTACCAACACTCTCAAAGCAAATATTGCATCTGTGGTACTCTTTCTGGGCATGAAACCAAACTGCTGCTCGCTGATCTGAACCTCTCGCCTTAGCCTCGCTTCAACAACTCTTTCAACCTTCATGGTGTGACTGATCAACTTTATACCTCTGTAGTTACTGCAGCTCTGCACGTCACCCTTATTCTTAAAAATGGGGACCAGTACACTCCTTCTCCACTCATTAGGCATCCTCTCACTCTCCATGATGTGTTAAGCAACCTGGTCAAAAAGTCAACTGCTTTCTCTCCTAAACATCTCCATACCTCCACAGGTATGTCATCTGGACCAACCGCCTTTCCATTCTTCATCCTCTTTAAAGCTGACCTCACTTCCACCTTACTAATTACTGAGAGACGTGCTGACGTATTGCGGTGAGTGTATTGTGTCACTTCCGGTGTCCGTGTATTGAACTCCGTGTGTTGAATTCCTCTCTTTCGTCTCTCTATTCTGCTACTCTCTGTCTCGCTGAAGCTAACTTTGAGTCACATTTACAGTTGTACAATTCCTTACACACCCAACTCAACTTATTTGCC